CGATGCCATTTCCAACGAATTACAAAACGCTGTTTCAAATAATTATAAGCGAGTGTCCTCACTTAAAACAAAGGTAGGTAATAAAAAAACCAAGAAAAAAAATCGTAAATTTATTTCTACTATTTTTTATTTATTAATTTTTTACAAAAGTACAAAAGAAGCCTTAACTCTATAACCAATTTCAAAACTACTAAATTAGGCACATTCAAATATTCTAACTACTAGCTGTACAAAACATGCATTTACATCAGCGATGGGCAGAGAGAGCTTTTACTCTATACCGGCGATGAGCATCGCCTTGCCCGCGGACAAAGCTCTTTTCAACTTTCTGTACATTTTGTATAGACGCGTGCAGAGTAAAAGTTCACCTTGCTTATCACCGCTCAATGCGAATCCTTAAGAAAACTTCGGAAAGCTTCAAAAAAGCTTCCACTTCGCTATAAATTTTGGTCATGACTGATCTACATACATTTCACTTCGAGCCGATAACACTTATCCGAATCCGCCGCATTCCAGCGCGCCACCTCGGCGATCGGCCTGCTCGGTTTCAGGAACAATGTCAACTCATCATTGAGATTGAGCGGTGAGTATTTGCTCACCACCACCGCTTTCGTGGCACTGCGATATCGTACGTTTAGCGGCGATTCATAGTCATTACCAAAACTTCGTCCACGCTGATCGGGCCATTCATTGGTCTCGACCACCTCTTGCGCAGCGTCGTCAATTATACGATAGCTTGGCTGTTTGAATGGACTAAAGCCAAGCTTTTGGCAAATTTGTCGCACCTCCTTCGCGTCTGGTGGATTGTCGCGAGCAAAACATTTAGTATGCCACACGCCATAGGTCTGTTCGATCACCTGACCATACTGGGGCAATTGTTTGTGTTTGCTGAGTGTGTGTGTGTGTGAAGAGAGAGGGTGAGAGAGGCGGGTAAGGAGTACGAGTTAGAAAATAACATATACAAATTTAAGGATCCACTTACATTTGGGGTGACTGTGTGAAGGCTGTCTTTCTGGTAACTATCTGCTGTGGAAATTCAAGTCCAAAACAATATTTCTCATCTTCGCCATTGGGACAATCGGGTTCTTTGTCACAAACAAAGTCGCGTGGTACGCATTCCTTCGATGCACTGTAAGCAGCATATTGCAGAAAGTTAACTCAAAGTTGTTTGTAAAAAAAAAAATCCTACTAATGTTTCAACTGTTTTTGTGCCGATCTTTTTCTACTTACCCGCCACATTGAAAATGATTAGCAGTGCAATTACATAGCGCTGGACTTTCATCGCTTTTATCCCAACAATTACGTATGCCATCGCATATTTTCTTTGGGTTGGTGGCTCTGGAAAGCAGATTAATTAATTATTTTCTTATTATTACTGTTTTAAAATAGCCTTAATTTCGGTAGAGTAAAAGAGAAGGGTCCGAAAAATTTATCGAAATCAAAAATCGAAATCGTTAAAAGCATACTTAATAAGTTGATGTCAAAAATTAAGAATATGTCGATAACGAGTATGCAACATTTATCGATAACTATATCGATAAAGCGAAAAAAATCCTCTCTTTTTCATTCCGTTAACAGCATTGATTAAAAAGTGGATACTCGTACCCCTTTTCATACTTACTGCAGATACGTATAGCAAGAGCAAAGTGTAGGTTCATCGGTCATGTCATCGCAATCGGCTATGTGATCGCAAAATTTAGTTTTTGGTATGCACTTATAGGTGGTACGGCATTTCATCTCTGATGGCTGACAAACTGCAAATAAACAGAAACTAGTAAATAAGTAGCAATAATCGATACGATACGATATTAGTATTTTATACTACAAAAAACTGATGGTCATAATAAAAGTTAAAAAAATGCCACACGATGAGAGACGATCTTCTAGAAATCCCAACGCTTCGTGTAAGTATGTTTGGCGTGAGAAAGCATGTTTCCCTCTACATTTAATTTGATGTTCACAGGATATTCCAGAATGTCTCCCCTATCTATGATGCATGCACCACTGTTTAATGGGTCTTCGACATTCTGATTCGTTGGAAAGCATTTGAGCACCACCTTTTATGATGAATATCTGGGTTATAGAACCCTTAAACGAGACTAACTTTAAACTCAGTTACACTGAGAGAAAAAACGCGTTGTAATACATATTAAGCAAAATGTTATGAATTCACTAAGGGAAATAATGCATAGTAAAAATGAGTATATTTTTATTTAGTTATTATTCTAAAATATTCGTATTTAAAAATAATACTTTCATACCACGCACGCGTGCTGTGTGTGGTGTTGATTCAAACTCCAAATTTGAAAGCACATTTACATGTCTGACTGTAGCTGAGTGCGCAAAGATGCTTGCCACAATTTGCTAATTTCCAGACGATCAGGGCTCAAACCTCATTGCAGGCAGCATGGAAATTAATTTGCTTTTTTTTTGTTTATCTTAATTATGAAATAAAGTTGAATATTTCAATACTAAATACTAAAATTTGTATACTAAAATTTATTACGAGTTGGGTTGGTGCGTATTTTTTTTAATTTAGCACGTTCTTTTTTATTCTAATATTTTTTTCTCTCAGTGTAGAGCTTTTCTTTTTTTGTGCGTACCGCTATGATACTAATGTTTTGCGACGTACAGAAAACTCTTGACCCTTAAAAGGTTATTTAAAAAAAGTAAAACCGCGAAGAAGTTCTAATACATCCCACGATTTTTATTTTATCTTTATTTTTTTTTTTGTACGTAAAAAAATTTGGTTAGGTCGTCCATGCTTTATTAAGTACTATACCCGCACACACAATAAATAGTCGATCTGTTCAGGAAAAATTTGAAATATACCATTCGAAATTCGCCAAAAAAATAAATTTTATAAAGTCTCCCAATTGAATATTAGTTTTCCAGTTGAAAACTTCTGACAGTTCCGAAATAAGTATCAACTAGAGGAGTTTTGGTTTTGTGAATTTCTTGCTATTATTTTTGATGCTTCGTAAATAGAAAGCTCCTAACCTCAACCTCTCATCAGATAATGAATATATTTCACTCACCTTTCTTCCGTCCAATACACATTTGTTTCTCTTCATCCGCATCGTCATGACAATCACTGAACCCATTACAAATTTGTTCTTCTTCCAAGCAATCGCCCAGCGTACAACGAAAAGTGCTGCAGACCGGTGCCGCATTGGAATGCTCACATTTAGGTTGATCTGTGGGCGCGAGATAAATACCTTTGTATCCTATCTCAAAGTTCTACTTTGCGCATCAGCCTTCTCCACTTACCTATTAAAGCCTGTATCGTGCCGTGAACCTTTTCCAGCGTACGCAATGCAATCGAGTCCCTAAAGCTATAACAATTCGTATTATTGTAGTCGAACAACGCCATTGGATACCAGCCAGTGTCAGATTGCCTACAAGCCAAAATGCCCTGATCAATAGGATCTAGTGCAGTGCGGCTGAAATTCTTCCTGCCGAATTGTGTGCAAGTAGTAAAACGGGAAATCGTCGAACCCAACGTGTCGTTCCCATCGAGGAAGGCTTCCTTTAGTACAACTTCCTCCGATAAACTAGCAACATCTTCTTCGCTTACTGACAGCTCATTAAGTACCTGCTGCGGTGGTTTACGCTCCACCAGTCGATAGCATGACATATCGGAGACTTTGCACAGTGAATCATTTCGCTCCTCAATTGCGGCAACAGCTTTGATACGACCGCTGTGGTCGTCGTGTAAAATTGCTATGCATTGGCTGGACTCATCGGTGGTGGGTTTGAAGCTGTAAATAGAAGTTTTATGTAATCTCAAATAACTTTCCGCTATTCAGTCGCTGCTTACGAGTCCGGCAAGAATGTTGGTAGCACGTAATGTGTAAAGTGTGCCGGTTTTTCCAAGTGATACAACAGTACACCGCTCTTGGGCACCAGCTCAAAGCAATCAACACGTCGTATCTGTTCGTGGGTGCTTTTGTGCCGACGTCGTTTCGTCTTGCCACCACCCAGTAGTACGGCAATATAATTGGTGTTGAATCTGTGAGGCAATCGTTGCATTTTTTTAAGGCATATAATATAAGCAAATTCGATAATCCGACAATAGCCGACTCACCTGACGCCGTAGTGGCACGTTTCGTGCACCATAACCCAATGCTTATCAACCAATGCGCCCACACACCACAACCTACCATCAACGTAAACATCAACAATCCATGGCCAATGCAGCTCCTCCACGGCTTCATGCAATTTGTTATCTATCAATAGCGTCATATTTTTCCGGCTCTCAATTACCGCTTCCAATTTATCGAGCACTTCATCCTTCTTTTTCACCAGCAACACTGGCGATGGTGGCGTCACAAAAACATTCGGTTTACCATGTGTCTCCAAAGCCGGCTGCAGTCCGGTTGAATGCACGCCGTCTGGTGATACGAGCTCGCCTGCGCTTATGGTCCTTATGGGTTCTACAGCATTTGCTTTCGCTTCACATTCCACATATAGACCCAAACACTCATCCATGACACGTTCTATATATTGAGTGCGAGCTTTGAAGACAAGATCATCTGCGCGAAATCGACGCTCAACGCTAGATAAGTGGTGGTTATCCTCGTATATCGAAGAAAAATGTGATTGCAAACGCATCTTTTTGCGTATGTCAGGATGAATGGGGACAATGGTGTCGTGTGGCATAAATTGGGTTGTATTATAGAATTTTAAGCTTCTGAAACCCAGCTGGGCGCAAACGTTTGCTGCTGTTGTAGCGATTTGCTCGGAGTGGGGAATTTCATGAGAACATACCACGCGCCATTTACCATGACTGTTGCGCGAAAATATGCCAGCACTCTTCAAAACGGGACGTCTATCGGTGTCCAAAACGATCTCCCTGCCATTAGTTAAAGTGACTTGACAGACGAACAATTTACTATAGAATTGGCTAATACAAAACAAAAGTAAATTAACTACTTACAACAGTCCTTTTCATCCTCCTTGAAATCGCAGTCAATAATGGCGTCGCA